GGTAGTTATTAATATCTCCACTTTACAAATGAACATTGAAAAATCAGAATTGGCTTGGCTTTGAGTCACAACTTTTTTTTTCCACACAAAATTAAGACACACAGAATGGAAATGATAGTGTCATCTTTATTTTCATTATTAGTGTAAAAGAAATCAAGCTAGAGGAGCCCACACCACTACCGTGGCCTTGGCCAATGCACATTCCCAGCGTCTGTCCTATTCACATGTCCTCTCTGTGGCCTCATTGTGAGTCAGAAAGTGATGTGGTCCAGGGATCAAAGCCTGAAAAGTTTTCCCATTTCCTTCCCCACGTTCAAAACAAAACAGCTCTGGGCCAGAGATGCATTTCTGCCCCATAGTTATTTGATAAAGAAGAAAAAAGAAAAAACTACTAAAACCTGATTTGGAATAAAAAAGCATTCTTAAAACAAATATTAATCACCTGTGGTAAACACACACACACACGCACACACACACTCATACACAGTACAGATACACACGTGTGCTTCTGTGCACGACCGCTTTAGCTGCCGGCAGAGGAGTTGAGCTGTTGTCTCCGGCTGATACTACTAATCCCCTCCAGCATGGGTGCTTTTGAGTTAAGTGCTGCACGTGTATGTGGTTTTTGTTTCTTAACGATTTCAAAGTGGCTCTTTAAGAATAAATCCAAGAAAAAAGTAAAACCTAGGTTTCTTTTCAGAGGGTCCCAGGGCCCTTTGTAGTTGGAGGGAGGGGAGATTTTCTGCTGCTCAGCACAGACCACCAAGGTGCCTTCAGTAACAGCCTTCACAGGGGGTATTGAACACCCCCCTCCCCAGCTAAACAGCAGATTTCAAAAATCTGAGGGTTTAAATCAGGCTCACTCTGACCTGCTTAATTGGGCCTGTTCTTGTGGCTGCTGTTTAATTTGGTACTGTCTATACAAGTCAGATACCTGGCTTCTCTTAAAAAATGGACAAACCTGGCAACACCAGAACCAGATTCCCGCATTAGCTTCAGTTACTTGTAGCCGAGGAATGACCGTCTCTCTTGACTGTACCAGCAACTTCACTCATGTCCACTACCTACCTGGCCCTGAAGGCTTCTGAGTTTGGAATTCCTGGTTTATAAGCAGGATTTCTAAACAGCCAACATTTGCTCATCATTATCCTGGGGGAAATCTGGCCAAGTACGTTGGAACACTGAAAAACAGTTTCCTTTTAACAAAGTGAAAGCAGCTGGTTCACACGAGAATTATTGAGTTTCTGGAAGCTGGGTGTGCCCTGATTTAAGTGCTGTATTGCTCAGATACACAAGCAGCAAATCCCCCCATCCCTCCCTGTAGCACAGCTCGTCATCATTTAGTATACTCTTGGCTCATTTCCCCTGAGACGCATTTTAGGTGCTGGAAGGGACTCTAGAGGTGGCCCAGTAATTTCCCCGTCTAGTCTGCTGGTTAATAGGAGGTGAACTCCCTGAGGGTCATACGGATGAATAGAATGAATGGAGATTTTTGTGTATGGTGGGGAGAGATGATACCCAGAGAACTGAACTACTTTGAAGAAAAAAAAAAAGCAAATACTTTCTCGTGCTCAATTTAGAGGGTGGAGAATGTCACAGTCATCGCAACTTTTACTCATTCAATAAATATTTCCTTAAGCACCAACTTTGTGCCATGGCCTGTGCTAAACTGGGGAGGCAGTGATGAAGGAGACAGAGTCCCCTGGCCTGGAGAAGTTCAGCCTGGAGGTAGTTATCCAAATATTTATGCCTGACAGTGGCCTAAGTGGTGACTGGTGCCGTCTTACAGGGAGAGCATGTTACTGGTGCCATTAGGATCTCCTCAAAGAGATTCCACAAGACTCCCATCTGTTTGCTTTCAAACAGACGTATTTTGCCTTGAAAAAGATTTTCCAAAGGTCCCACTGTCCCTCAGCTCTAAGACACCTCCACCAACATAAATACCCTTGGTAAGGGTGAAACCTCAAAACCCTGCAGGGCCCGGCAGGTAACAAATGCATGGGGCCAACAAAACTGGGGCTGTATTCAACAGCAGACACCACGTGGCTACTGCCAGCTCTTGGGAGGCAGGAACACTGGCCCAATGTGGCCAGAACATCAGGGTTTCTGAAAGAAGCTAGAAGTTGGATTTTGATTTTTTTTTTAAATTTCACATCTTCTTTTTTGAGATTCTAGGGTTCAAAAATATGTTTAGGCTTAACATCGATCATCAAAAATAGGTCTGCAGGCAGATTTCAGTTAAGGGTCCAGGATTATGAGCTCCAATTCCAGGAGACCCAACATCCCATCCCCTGATTATATTTAATACAGATCTTACCAAGAACTGGCAACCTGGAATTTGCCTTTTCCAGGAAGTCCTATTGGGCCTTTCGTGTTTTGGAAATTAAACACATAGAGATATTTAGACTCCCTGCATCTCTCAATATTTCTCTTTCTTTGTTATTCTTGCTGTCTATCAAAAAGTAATTATTTTCAGTAAAAGAGTGGAACTTGAACACATTTGTCAATACAAGTTATTCTTTAAGAGTACCCTTTGATACATGTATATACATGGTCATGACATGATTGGGATCTTCTGATCATTCTGGTTTGGAGTCAGATCCTTTCCTGAGCACTTGACCTTTACTACTGGACTCGTCTTGAGCTAAAGGCTCCTGAGTGGCTTATCTTTCAATGTCTGCAAAGCCTTCGTTCTCTACCATTCACAGGTGTTCTGTTTACCCCACCTGGACTGTATAAGTGAATTATGTGAAAGATTTTGTTTTGATTTTCCATCTCCCTGTTTTCAGAGCTGCTTTCTTTTTCTCCAAATGCAGCTGAAGAGAAACAAGACAGAATTAAGAATATGAATCCTCCCTGGGTTTTTTTTTTTGCTTCTATTTGGAGAACATAGTTTCATTCTTTAATTATTTTACTGCAGTTTCTCACCTCATTAGGACCCAATTTACGCACAATAAGTAGAGTCAATTTTAATTAGGAGACCTGGATTGTGAACTTTCCTTAGCAACACCCTGGGAGGGGCCTTAGCTTTAGTAATGCTTCAGATTCCCTGCTTTTCTAGAACAGCATTTGAAAAGCAAAAACAGAACAGGTGTACAACCAGTTTCCTTAACACGATATAGTTATTTGAAAACTATATTTATTTATAACATTTTTATCACCTTGGGATGCTTTGTGTAAAGTTTGATCTTTTTTGTTCCCCTAATCTAGTTGCCATCAAAAGAATCTGTATGGCCAACACTGATTCTTCTCTGGAAATACCTGTCCCTCAGGAATTTAAAAATGATGATTTGATCGCCATGCCTTCAAGCTGAGGCCTTAGGAGTTAGTAAGGCCTATGTGTGATCTAATTTTCTGAGAATGAGGAAAGTGACAATTTATGGAAACTAAGACAATAATAATACCTGGCATTTTTAACATTTTAAAAATTGCTTGCTACCTGCCAGCATTGTTCAAATCCCTCTGCCTCTATCAGCTCACTGAACTCACATTATCATCCCATTCTCCCAGGTGGCATAGCTGAGGCATGGAGAAGCCGTGTAACTTGCCCCAGCTCACAGAGGTAGGAGCAGAGAACAGATTTGAACCCACGTCCTCTGGCCCCAGAGCCTAAAGTCTTAACCATTTGACAACCCTGCCTTCTGGGATTGAAGAAGAACAAAGCAGAGGTATGGTTAAAGATGACATTTTTCCCCTTAGTTTGCCTTGGGTAGCATGAGTTCTTCCATTTGTCCCAAATTCTTCATTTGTAAATTCCAACAGTCTACTTTCCGGGATGTTGTGGCAGCTCGTTATTTAAATGTATTCCTAGTTCCTTGGAAGAAAGGCTATATAAATATTACATAACCATTTTAAAAATGTAAGAAATGTCTCCACCTGAATATGATGGTCATATTTCTCATTCTAATATGAGTGCTGACTCATGGGTAAATGAATGGGTGCTGACTTTCTGAGTCCTGAGGACGTGGTTGCTTCAGGTCCCTCTGCATCATCTCACAGTGCAGGTTCAAGATCAGACTCTTCACTGGGAGTGAGTCCCCTTGAGACCTCAGGAAACCATCTCCCTGGTAGTGTCTAGGCCTCTGTGAGCCTTTTCCTTCAAACCTTCTACTAGGTTATGTGCTGTAAGAGAAATGGGAAGAAGCAAAACAATGGATTAATTATGATACACTCATATGGTAGAATACTATTCAGCCAGAAAAAATGAACTAAATACATGTACAACATGGATGACTTTCACAAACACTTATGTTGAAAGAAGACAAAAATCAATACATGTTGTATAGCTTTATTCATATAAAGTTGAGGAACAGGCAAAACCTGGGATGGTGGGTGAGGTGTGTATACACTGGGAAAGGAGATGGGGAGAAACTTAGAGAATGGGGAGAGTGTTTTATTTCTTCCTCTGGGTGTATTTACCTACAGAGACAGACACGTATGAAAATCCTAAGGTTGTACACTGTGAGTAGGGAACTTGATGCATATTATCCCTCTATAAAGAAATAAAAGGAACTGAAAAGGACATTCGTAGAAGACTGTGGAGCTGCAAATGCACAGCACAGTGGATTCTTCAGCCAGAGCTGAAGGCAGGGACTGGCTCACAGCGGGGCTTGTATGTCAAGCTGAAGGCTTTGCCCTTTATTCCATCAGACTAGGGGCCTCATGAAGAAACCACAGACTCAGCCTGGAGTGTTGAAATCTCACTCAGCATCATTCCATAGAGAGGGAGGACTGGAGCTGGGGCCAAACAGAAATCCAGGAGATGAGATAACCATAAATAGTGCTCCTCTGAGAAAACTCAAATTCTATTTCTACCCCTTGGGGAGTGCACACTTTGGGTAATACGGTGGTCCCCCCATGAAGCTTGGGGAGGAGGCGGTAGCCATGTGGAGCCTCCCTGCTACATCAGACACTCGGACAATATCAAAACCACTTTTCTGTGGCTGCCACACTGCGGAAGGCCCAGAAAGCCTCTGAGCTCCCCGGGGCCGGCCTTCCTGACTCCTGGCCCAGCTGGGCTTCTCTGTCTCCCCACCCCCAGCTCCCATCTGGTCCCAGTGTTCTTCTCTTCACAGTATTTGCATAGAGGAGGAAGAGCAGGCACCGTTGGTTACACTGACCTAAATAAAATGCAAGGGTCACCAGGTCCTCTCCATGGCGATGGTATATAATTTGCACATTCTCACTCAGACCTGCTGTCAAAATTTGGTATTTTTCCATATTAAAATTAAATACTACTGACTTAAAGATAAGCTTTTTTGAATAACTGAATTGAACATAGATGATTTTTAAAATGTATTTGAATCATACCTGTAGGTCCCTTAACTTCTTTGTATTTGTTTTGAGCCCCTTCTACTTATTCAATAAACATTTTTAATTAAAAAATGGTTAAAGTGTATCTGTTTATGTGCTTTAAATACATACACATGGGGTAATGCTACATCAGTAATCTGGGCTCTTTTCTGATGAAAGCTTTTTCAGGTATGGTCCTGTATTTTTCATCAGACACACTAACGTAGCCACTTGTAGGCCATTAAATAAGATATTGGGTTTAAAACAAATGCATTTCAGCAAATGTAATGCTCTAGTTTAAACAATGAATTTGTGCTTTTGTGTTCTTGTGCATGTGCAATATACAAGTACTAATTTTCAAATGAACCTTCAGGAACTCTCGAAATGAAGTAAGTGTGTGTTTGTTTATGTAACTACTCTTTCATATAGCTCCCTTAGATTCCAGATAATACATTTTTATGAGTGTGAGAGAAGAGGGAAACCGCAGTACCTCCTGGGTTGGGTGGAATGGATCAAAACTCTCCAGGCTGTTCAGAAGCAGAGATGCAGCACTAATAGATCCCTGGCAGCAACTAGTGTTTCAGCAACTCCCACATCACTTCAGAGTCTGGGATCCTCTAATCTCATGTTTATATCTCCCCCCACTTCACGTGGAAACCCCTTTGGTCGGTTTTAAGCACGTCCTCTGGTTCAAAAGCGACTCGGGCTTCCGAAGAAAACCACAGTGCCAAGATGAAATCAGCATTTCTTCAGGTTTTAAGTGGGCATTTATCTCAGCCTCATGATTCTTATACACTTGTCTTCTGAATAATCTCCAGTCTGAAAGAACACATCTGAAATGTTACACTTCCTGCAAGAAGGTACAGTACAATGATTCCCTGTTCCAGGACATTATATGCTTTAGTGAGTCTTTAACAGGCTTTGGATATTTTGTTTTCCTACTAAGGTGTCAACTGAACTCGTAATCGCATTTAGGGTCACCGTGGCTTCCTTCTGACTGATCTAGTACATACTTGAAGATTTCCTGATGTCCAGATCTGAGAACATCATCAACCACGGGGTCATCGTGAAAGCAGCTACGGTTGTCTTGAAAATCTGCAAACCGTTCTCAGAATGGCTAATGTGGTGTTTGCACACATCCGCCCCTCAAAAACAAACTGTTAATTTGGCTGTGCTGGAACTCTGTGGCCTTATATTTATACAGCCATTTTTTTCTGGGACAAGATCATTTCTGGTTATAAGAATTTTAGCTATTTTGTGCTCTAGCTTTTGGAATTCAGTGCTGCCATGTGGGAGAATTGTATCCGTGAAAGGTTTTTTTCTCTCTCTGTTCCATGCTTGAAGGTTTTTGTGGTTGTCTTTGTTGATTCCTGAGGATATGGGAGCTTTCTTTCTCTTTATTTCTTCCCAATGATCTGTTCTGTGTATCACAAAGAGATGACACAAAGCCCATAGTCGTTCGTTCAGGAAGAGAAAGTTAAGTCACTCCAAATTTCCTACAGTCGAAGAACACCCCTGTATCTTTTCATTCAGAGGGGTGTTTAGGATAGGAAATTAGAGCAAACCGGAGGACATGTTAGTGTGGATCTGCGTGTTTGGTTGCCAAGTACAAGAGGTGAAATGAGTCTCCGATAAATATCTTAGAGGGTACACACTTGTACTGGACAACCCGAAAATGACTGCCCTGTACTGGGAAGAACATAGTGCTCCCTTCAGCAATTTAGAGGCTTCTGCCTTTGTTTGTGGTGGCCTGTACATGCTGGGTAGCTCAGTTGGCTAGACCATTAAGTACCCACTGCTCTGCAGGAGAAAGCAAGCCCAGAGTTCTCCAAGGGCACTGAGATGGGAAAGCTCAGCACAGATTGAAGAGAGGGGCGTCCAGACGTGGGCCCCGAGGAGCCAACCAGACCGTGGCAGGATGCGGGTCACCCGGAGCAATCTGGCTAGCAGGACCTTTCTGAATTTGAGGAACACCAGACCTGCTTCCATTTTTTTTTAAGGCTCCTGGTATATTTTTAAAATGCTGGAAAAGGTTTCAAAATTTTGTCATCTTTTAGGTATTTACAACCATTAAAATTACAAATTGAACATCTTTATTTTTCCCCCATTGGTATATTTCTGGGGTAGTTTTACCTCCTTGGAGACTATATCCGAAGTCTGTATTTGAAGCCCTCAGGGAATGGTAGGCTCTGGCCGAATGCCTCCCTGGGATGCCACTGTCCCATAATTCACTCCAACTTGGACCAGACAGCCCCACAGGCAAGGCTCACAGTGTCCTTAGAGCTTCTTTCTTTTCCTGTATCCCGGACTGTCTGTACCCCAAGCAGTTCCTCAATAAGTCTGTGTCAAATACATGAATTGAATGTTCTTTAAACATAAGTAAGGACTTTCTTACCTCATTCCTCTTCTGAAATGCCCCCATATTTGGCTCTGCCGACTATGCCTCTTACCCATCTTTGAAGTTCTAGCCATGCTCCATGCTTTGTATGAAGTCTGCCTGTTCCAATTATTGTATTAAATTTCCTCTATATGCTCAGAAGTCCTCCCGTGCTTACAGTCAGAACCTTTTACAATAGTTTGACACTACTGTCAACTCCCAACTCCCGCTCCTTCCCCAGCCTGGAGAATTCAGACTCTGTAGTCAAGAACCAAGTCTTATTCTTCTTTTGTATCTGTAGTGTAAAGCCTAAAATTTCATGTGCTGCTTTGACATCTTCGAGCCTCACGGGGCCCCGGAGGTCTAACCCTAAGTTCTCTTGCTTTTGCCAGACACGTCCCCCACCCAGTGGGAAAGGCACCCTCCTTGGCTAGTTCTCCTATTAACCTGATCAGCTTCATTCCACCTGGTCCTCAACCTCATGGATATTACTCCCTTGCCAGCCTGTGAAATTATTCAAGCAAGCCAATCACATCCGCCTGTGGGAACCAGGGGTCACTCTACCCTCTGGTTAATACAAAACCGGCCTCCCACAGCCCCTGCTTTTTTACTCGACTCCCAAGTGCAACCCTCAAGTGACCCTACATGGTGTGTGATGTCCTCCCACAGGCTGTGCGTGTGTGTGACTAAGACACTGCTGCCAGTCTCATTTGTTCAGTGTCAGGTGGGATATGTGTGGCCATCTTACTTTATAGGGTGAGGCATCCCTCCTTCAACGACTGGCTGAATAGGAGGTGATCAGAACGGGATCCTGAGCAGAGCTGTCACTCAATAAATGTGTGTTGACTGCATGTTCTTCCTTCTGTGGAGTCCCCAGCCCCAGTTAGGAGACTGGAAATTAAATAAATGTTTGCTATAGATGCCGACAGATTTATTTTCCTTCAGAGAATCTGTTGGAATCATACAGCAATGGCTTCCATTCACTTAATTACATTTCAA